ACTAAAGCAATAATTATTTATAACGTTAAGATAACCACCTCCTCTCTCACAAAATGTCCAATTTCCACTATAAACTTACATGCTGTTCAGGACCACAGTAACTGCTACCTACAGCACTCAGGATTTGATGCAAAGCACTTCAGTGATGCATAGAAATGAGCCACAGAAACACAAAACATTCTATGTGTCACCTCCTTCCAGATTAAGTTTTCAAAACTGAATGCTCAGGCTTTCTGGGAACCACAGGTAATAAACACTTCTGAGAACTGCAACATCTGTTTCAAATCCTAAATCTGGATGAAGGTTCTTCTTTTTAGCAGTCAGCTTTGACCACCTGACTTTAATTACATGCTTGGTTCCTTGTCTAGAGTGTTAATAGTACCCAACTGCCTCATAAGCCCATGTAAGAGAACATATGAAGACCAGATGCTCTGTTCCATTACCAAACACTACTTGCAATGAAAGTGTAGCAATCTCCATAGTGGGGGAATAGAGAACTCTTGGCTTCTACGCAGCTTGTATTCCATTAGTGAGCAACACTGGAGCTTTTACACAAGTCAGCACCTGAATTTCTGCACTCACAAAAAGTAGCTAGACCTCCCACTTTTCAAAAGTGTTTCAATATATTTTCAAAATACTTTGCAGAGGACACACTAAGAAAACAGTGAACGTTATCTGTTTAAACACCTCATGTCATTTCTAGCCTATTACTGTATGCTTCCAAGCTGTCTAGCTTCCCTACAAACACCCTCTTGTATTTTTGAAGCTTCAACTAGATTGCTTTACTTGATTGCTTTTACTCAACTGCTTGATGCTCGCTTATTAAGAAGCTTCACGTGAAAGCAGTTTCTCATGTGTAACAAAATAAGAAATACAGCAAAGACAAGAGAGCAGCAAGGCCCCAAGCAGCAGCAAGTATTTGCTCAAATACACCCACCAGAGGCATAGGAAGAAAAACAAACAAACAAACAAAAAAAGCTTACCTTCAGAAGACCTCAGATACACAGGGATTTCCAGCAATCTCCCCTTCCCTCCCCTGCCAACCTTTAAATGAGATCTGGGAAGGAGTGGATCCTGGCTCCAATCTTTCCAGTCACTCAAGGGCACTGCATGCAGCTGAGCTCCCCTGGGCTGAGCCCTGCCTTCCCATCAGGTGCTCAATCACTGATTCAAGCCATGACTTATCATTTCTTCTACACTAATATATGGAATTAGTTTTATTTCTTATCGAGGGTTCATGTTTCTTTCTCCAAAAGCCTCTCCAGAGATTCAGTTGTTTTATGCTTCTCGTTGCACAGAAAGAGATGAAAAATGCACAGTAGTAACATGAGATGTTAAAAAGAAAAACTCACAGAAAGCCAAGAAGTTAGATAAAACAAGCAGCTAAAGGGAGAAAAGCTTAGAAATTGCATGAAAATGATGTACCAGAGGTAGAAATAAAATGTGTGTATGCTATACACTGTAAAAGGCAGTAAGGACACTTACACATGGGAAACAGTAGAAATAAAAAGAGTAGAAGTCATCTGAATGCTGAAATATATTCTGACAAACAAAAACAAACAAAACACATAAAATTGTAATAACTGCAATATATATATATATATTTAATGGCAGTATGTCAATAGGTGATCAAAATATAAAACAGACCCTCAGAGACGATGAGGTTACTGCGTAAAAGCTGTGCATTCCTATGGTTGGCACTGACTACAGATCAGGGCAGGAAAATTACTGACCAGCTCGTTCCTTACAGAGGTTGAGTGTGAAGAAATCTCAGATTCAGGAAGAATGCCTCATAAAAAAAATATTTGTACTTGGAAGAAAGGGTTTTAGCACAAATCAGTGCAATGAAGAGTAACGACTTGCCAGGAGCAGATGATGCTCATGCAGGAGTTCCAAAGCACCTCACGTATGAAACCTCTCAGCTGCCAAATGAGGGTAACTGCTGCTTAAATCACTGCTGTGCCTGAGCTGTGGGAAAGTGCAATCAAACACTGAAAGGATATAGGATGAGTGATTGTGCTTCTTTTGTACCCATGGTTAGAAGGAATATATAGTAAAAATAGAAGCAGTAGACTCGGGGATAAATGCCATGTCAAGGCTGAGTCAACATGGCTTTCACAGCCATTCTAAAATACAATTGTCTGAGAGGCCACTGAAGAATTGGATGATGATCCAGCAGGTGACCCCAAGGAGGTGATTATCCAGCCTGCAGCTGCGTTCCCTGGGCAGACCACACTAGGGCTGCACAGAACATGAAAGACTGTTGCAACACATAACTATCAGAGCCAGATGATTCCAATGGACTTTAATTGCTTTCAAGCAGCCTCACCTGGGACCTCCACCCATGGCCTCCACCATTGGCCCTGAGCTTGTGGGCCAGCCCTTCTGCTTTTCTCTCTTGTTTTGGTTTGCCTTCAAGATCTGTGAGGAAACCATACAAATAAGTTGAAATGTGGAGCTCACAATGTGAAGGTGGAGTTCAGCTGCAGTCAGAAAAGAACTTGAAATCTATCGTATAAACTGTCCAATTGCTTTCAGAAGGGTTTATTTAAAGAAGTGAAGGATTTAAAAATAATTAAAAAATTAATAGAGGAAGTGGTGTAAGTAAATGGTTTGCTTTCCTAGTGGACTGCCAGAGCATCTCAGAAACCTGATGATTGAATTGGTGTGTGAATCTGGAGAGGGTGAGTGGTAAAGTGAAAAGCTGCAGATCCTAGAGCAAAGTTTTCAGGTAGTCAGGACTAAAACTGATGATTCCTTGTCAATACGCATTGTGAGACAGGTAAGGCACTTATGCCTTCAAGTGTTTTCTGCAGGAAGCAGCTACTGCTTTATGCTGTGTAAGCAGGAGAAAAAGGAGTGAACAGATTGAGCTGTGATGAGAAGTTCCTCCTGGTCTTTTCCTGAAAAATGTCCCACTTAAATGGCAAACCACTAGAGAGCAGCATTACATCAGTACTTCTGTTATGTATCAGAACAACTTCTGAATAAAATAAAGTGTCAGGATGATGTTTGTGGTTTTAGATCAGATTGGTTTTCTGATCAGATTTTCAGGAGCAGGGAAGATAGAGACCAGTCTGTCCCACCTGGTTCGTTGCTCACTCTTTGCTGTGGAATGAAATTGAGATTAAATAAGCATCACTAAGAATGTGATAAACATATATTATTAAAAACAGCAATGATAAAATAGCTGATAGCTCAAGGACAGTATGGCTAAGGACAAAAGTCAAAAGATGGTGCAAGAGGAAGGGCACACAGGAGAAAGAGCACAAATTACAGGCATGTATTCAAATTGTTTGGAGAGATAATGAGTTCAAGTCCTGAAAAATCTGCTAGGATATCAAAGCAAGCATGAAGTTAGATAATGTAAGCAAGCAGTACTGAAAGTTTTTTGCATCTACAAAATAACTGCTGACTGTGTGAAGTTAGCAGGTGATATGAAATTTGAAAAATACCCATTCTTTCTGACAGTCAGGAAAATGAATTAAACAGCAGTAAGTCTCCTGACTCAGGAATTGCTCCCATCTGTACTCTGCAACTGGAGCCAATAAGGTATTACAGCCTTGCCTGGAATGGATATGCAAAACTGCATGGCAGAACTTCAAAGCTCTTTTCTAGCCCTCCAGACTGTCACCCAGAGTGACCCAGCTCCAGGCTCTGCACAGTGATCTGTTTGGGTTTTTTTTTTCCTCATGCTTTTATTGTCTAAATGCTTTTATTGTCTTTTGCTCTCTCCTTGATCATTTTGTGATGTGTAGCAGTGTGCTCCTGTGATTCCCCTTGCCTCTTCTGTACCTGATTCCTCAGTAGACATTGAGGTTGCTCAGAACTGTACAGGAGGGCTTGTGGTTAGCAGCATAACTAACTAACGAGGACTTCTGAATTTCATCCTATTGTCAGCCAAGGGCAAAAAGAGTCCTTTATACATGCTATGGGAGTATAATCTACAAGAAAACTAACTAAATGAATTCTGGATGTCACAGAAGTGTACAATACGTTAGAAAGTTTAGGAATTAAAAATCAGCGTGGTAAAATGAAAACATTCCGAGCAAAACTTTAATATCAGTTAAAACCTTCATAGTGAAATACTTAGAAGGTTCTCTCCACCAATTCCTGCTGTGAACCCTGTAGATTTCTTGAAATTCTCTGCAGAAACAAAATTCATACATTTTTCTTGTTTGCTTCCTGAAGATCTAATGCAGCAAATCCTTAGGCTTTTCTCTAGCATTGGATATTTGCACAGAGGCTGAAACTTAGAGCAAGCCTGTAACTGTTGTCACATGGCCTCAGTGCAAACATCTCCATTGCACAGCTTGCTCTAACAGTGTAGGTTTTCTAGGATTCAGTGCTGTGCATCTCTTCAGGCTTGTTTCTACTCATGGACATCAAATGAGGAAGGGCATCCCAGAAACAGGAAGCCAAAACTCAGGGAGCTCATGGTTTTATAAAAGACACAATCACCACCAGTGATGATGTGATATTGCATAATAGGGCAACGGGGGTAGGGGGGAGAACAATGACACAGCAATCAACTTCTGTCTCCAGCACATTTCCATTGCTCTGGCTGAGAGCTGGGCTCTGCAGAACAGGGTGGCTCCTGGCAGCGTGCAAAGCTGTTTCTAGGACAGGTAGTCAGTACAGATGGATCAAAGAGTTCCTTGACATTGAGTTTTGCTGTAAACAGACTACTACCAGATATCCTGTCCCTAGGTCAGCAGTGAGGGAATTTGCAGCAGTTCATGGGTTCTTAAAGATGAGTCACTTCAAGGTTGCTGGATTTTCTTTCCTATTGCTCCACTTCCTCTGTTTTCTCTGAAGATAAATAAGAAGTAAGAGTCTGACAATTCTCTTGAGGTCCTGCAGCTTGTTTGTTTTGTGAAACTACTACTCGTTATCTAAGTCTGTTGCACTTGTTAAAGGCAGATTTCCCATAAAGCTTGTCCCAAGTAAGCTAGTCACGGCCTTGAGAACTGAGCTGCAGAGCAGAGATCATCTCAGAAACTTGAAGATGAAGTGCCTTCTTCTGCCAACTCAATTTGCATTTCTCTATAGCTTTGTTCTAAGTAAACCTGTCCAGGTGTGTTGCTGCTCCTTGATGCTGAGACTTCATATTGCCTTTGCTGTGCTGCTCTGTTGCTCTATGTTAAAATTATTTATAAAATGCTGTGATTCTACACAATGTAATTTTTCTGCTGTTGAGATAAGTATATGTAAAAAATGTAATTTTTTTTTTTCAGATAGCTACAAGAAACAATGACTTAGGTGAGTTTGATTGCAACTATTCTATAAATTACTGCAGTTCTTGGGGGGTTCCTTCTCTATACTTCATTCTCTATGTCTCTTACATTTTTCTTCTTGAAAATGTTTACTATATCTGTAGAAAATAATTCACAAAACTCAGATGTGTTTTAAAGTCCATTCAGTTTGATTATGATTTGATTATTTATGCTGTCACAATAAAGAAATTTAGAAGAACTACAGAGTAATTGTTATTTTGAATGTTCTTTTCCACATGTGCCCTCAAAAATGAGTATACGTTTGACTTTGATTTCTTCCCTGTGTGATGGAAGTCACTTCCCTCTCTGTTGTATCCAAAACTATTGTACATTTTTGACATAATAACCAGTAGCTACAGTTTGTGATAAATATATGGCAAGGAAAGGTAAGCCTGACCAGTCTATGTATACTAGACTCACTTAAACTGAATTCACTTATCTTTTGTCACCTTTTTGGGAAATAAACTTCAATGGAAAAAATTTCGGAAGGTATAAAATTTTGGTTAGTGTATGCCTCTCATCTTCCTTTTGCACTTCTCTTTGATGTCTCAGTGCCTTGAATGTTCATTTCCTTCATCTGCCAGACAGTAAAATAGCTGTGCATGAAGGAGACATTCTCCTGAGAAGAGGACAACGCAGTGCAATTAACTGCGAGAGCTGTTTATGGCCCAAGTCACAGGATGGACTAGTCAAAGTTCCAGTTAACATCTCCTCTGATTTCTGTAAGTGTATACAAATGGACACTGTAAAGCTAGCATTGAACCTTTAGTCCCTGTTCTAATATTTTATGGCATTGTGCCATGCATCAGATGGACTCTGAATCTGAATGAGAACTTATCAACATGTCTCTTCTGCTAATCCCTTGGCCCTACGGTACTTTGGCTAAGACTCCAAACATTCTAGGCATAAGCACTAAAATGTGGTTACTCAAGCAGTGCTTGTTATATAAAAAAATACCAGTTAATTTTAATTGCAAATAATAGTCCATTTCTGCTAGCTACTATGCATTTTGATGTTCAGCAAGTACAGAAGAAAAAGATATGTAATTTGTCCACGTTAGGAAAGTATTTGTCATAATTACCACTAGAAGCAATTATTTTAACACTGACTTTCTTTCAAATATGTCATAAATGATCTGTCTAGTGGAAAAGGCTGCAGGGCCAATGTCTTCATCTGGAAAATTTGTTCCAGAAGGCTTCTTATGGGCTTTGTGAGTCCTCCACCTCTCCCCTGTGGAGGCCTCCCTGATGTCAGGCTGGACCCAATTCCTACTCCCGAGAAAAGGAAACCTTTGTGCTACTGGTTTGTGTTACTGGTTTTGCTGAAGAGAGCCCAGTCTTAATTGCTACTCTGCTCATGTGTTTCTAGAACATACCTAAGTCTAAGTGGTTAGGTAAGGGTTATTCTTTCTGCCTTGCTCTCTCCAAACTTTAAAGATGAGGAAATTGATATGAAAGGTAACTGCAGATGACTCATAATTGAGGAAGCCAAAATAGGCGAAAATGTTCAAAAGCAGATAAACAATCTATATTTGGTACTTGAACAGAAACACTGAGTGTCAGAGCTTCCTAACACTGGCTGTCTCAAATGGTTTCAAGGGGTGTGTGGCAGACATTCATTACCTCTGATAAACAAGCTGCTTTTTCCATACTTCATTCGGGTCAGACAGTTCATTTGGGATGTTTCAATCCAATTATTTGCATCTTAAACTGTTCAATTTTTTAACATTCTGCCAGTCTTTTGCTTTTCATCAGCCTTCTCCTGCAGAATGCGTATGGGCTAGTTATAATTATTACATATTCCTTCAAAATCTGATCAACTTGATCTCTGAAGGCTCTGTGCCTTTCTTCATTACATTTGTAGGATAAAAAGGTAAAGAGTGTTGTAGAGATCTAGAGGAATGCATCCTATCGGTGAACCTTATTTTTAAATAGCTAACCAAGACTTCTGGCCCCTTTCTCATCCTAGCGTTGGCAGAGAGGTCTTGGATTGCTGATGCTCTTCAAGAGGTCTCCACATTGACCTGTGTCAAGTTTGTCAATCGCACTACAGAAACAGACTATGTATACGTTGAACGCGGGCAGAGGTAAGCTCCTTGTCTCCTGTGTCTGGAAGTATACAAAATGTCTTTCAGTTTCTTTTCTATTTTGGTCAGATTTTAAGTAATTTCCCTTTTTATCTTAGGAGTCAAGATGTAGAAAGCAGGTGCAATTTTTCATTTTTCTTTAGATATACTGGTAGTTATATCATTCAACAGGCTACAGGAAAAGATGAGTGGACTTCATTAAAGATATTGGGTTATAATCCAAAATTATTTTTTTTCCTTAGTTGTTGCGAAAATTCTTTCAGGTTTTTTGCTTACCTACTTGAACTGCTTCACCTAAGTTTGCTACGCCTGTTTTACAAGAGCAATTTCTCCCTCTGCAATTTCTTTGGTAGCTTTCAAGTAGACAGGATATCTCACACCAGCGACTGTGTGTGTTCTCTTTGGGGCTGCGTATCTGGAGGCCCATGGTGGCATGTTCAGTATATGTATTTCTTTGTATTTGCTGAACATAACCGTTTTTGTTAAAATTGACTTTTCTTAGCTGCTGGTCTTACTTTGGAAAAATTGGAGGACGTCAAGCAGTAGGCCTGGTGAAAAATGGCTGTATGGATAAAGGAGCGATTCAGCACGAAATGAACCACGCGCTGGGTTTCATCCACGAACAGGCACGGAGCGATCGGGACAAGTTTGTCAAAATTATGTGGGAACACATTACGGCAGGTAAGCCCACTCGGTGTTCAAAGAAAACAAATGCTTTGAGGTATAGTTGAATGTTTCTTCTGAGAACAGCTGTGCATACCAGCAGCAGCAGCAACACCTGGCTGAATAGCTGTGGAGATGCGCGGACTGTGGTGGGATTTCTTGTTCAGTGTGAGTTTGTTACTCTGTGGCAAATGCAACCTAAAAGTAGTTCTACATGCTTGTTGAGATTGCTATGCTGAGCCCAGACTTGTCTTCTACTTGGTATTCTACAATACCAAGATCATAAGGATCATGAAATGCTGCAAAAAGAATCATCTGCTTTCTATCGTGGGCAGCACAAGCAGCAACCAGTTACAATCACTTGAATTGAGGTCACATTAGGAAACCACTTCTGGAAACAAGGATGGTAAAACAGTGGAATATATCAGCCAATTACATCATGATGTTTCATTAACAGGATTTCTTAAAGGATATTTCTGAGCTCCTTGTCTATAGACTGAGCTGATGAGGGAAAATGGAAGGAAGACTAGACTATGCAACACAAGGGAAAGGGGGGAAAAGGCAAGGACGTGCAGGGGAAATGAACTGAAAAGCTATCTGTGTTTATGAAGGCTGTTAGTGCACATCATCTGTTTATAAAAACCAACAAAACTATGTGGCTAACAGGGCTGATGGTAGAGATCCTCCTGACTTTAGTGGTACAGAAATAGACCTCAAGACATTCCGTAGGCTCCCAGTTCTTGCACATAATCTGCTTTTCCCTTGCCAGGACTTCGTAACTATGGATGTTTGGGGTTTGTTTTTACCCCCTCAATTTACATTGGAAGCTATCCAGATCCTTTGTTTTGACAGTATACAGCCTGATCATTTACTGTCCACTTAGCTACTTGAAACTCTGCTTGCTTTTCCCAAACTTCTTGGGAACAAAACTGTACTCGGAGCGTCCTTTTCAGCCTTCTGAGTCACTGTACTTAGATTCTGGCAGATATTTGTTGTTGGTTTTTGTTTTTTTTAGTGGATACAATGGGTTAAGTCCCCATGCCTGTGCAGGTCTTAGCTCTCCTGTATGTGCGACCCTTAGCTCCCCAGCACATTACAGGGCAGCATAGTTTGTTGGCCTGTTGTCCAACCAGGCTACTGCTACCCCTTTCTTTAATGAAGGAGTTCAGCTAAGTATCTACATGCCAAACAGTAGCCACATGCTTAAACATTTCACCGCATTTGAAATGTGCTCTTCTCTGGTCATCATCTCAAAAGAAGCTGTGAAGTTACTGATGATACTTTCTTAAGTCAGTATAGCAGATAAGAGGAACTGAGATAAAAATGTAATTGAGCAGGGAACGCCAATGCTAATGAGAACCAGTTTGAGCTTTGAGTTCTTGAGCTACAAAAAGTTCCAAAATAATGTTTATCCTCAAACTCTGTATAGTTCAGGACTTTCTCTTTGTATTTCTTAGCCCTCTCTGGGACCAACACAGATGGCTATTATGGGAAGAGGCTGACTCTGACTGCAAGATTGCCAGCCAAATTGCATGAACTCAAGAGTCAGATAGTCAGGATGATCTTCTGATGAGTTCCCAGTGTTGAATTCTTGTCCAGATGGCTTGTTGTTTACAAACCCTTAGTTACAATAACAGAGGTACAGATGTCGAACTAAGAAGGAGTGCTCAGTGGTCAGGAAATTAGCCTCGAGGCAATGCTGACTGCATTCAGAGTCAGAGTCAGAGCTCTGCTCTGACCCTGCTCACCTCTTACAGACAAGAGGACCAGGATGCAATTCACAGGCTCTCCAGGCAATAGAGAGAAATGGGTGCACCCGTATTAGAACAGGATCAAACTCCCTCCAGCTGTGCCTCAGAGAACGAATGCTAGGGGATGTGAATCCTAGTCTGTCTGTGGGCCCCACTCCTTTATCAATATGATACTTTCTAACAGGAGTTTTCTAAGGCTAAACAGATAAAATGGGGAGGTACACAGCAGCTACCTTGAGGGAAGCATTACCAGTAGCTGTATTTGGACAGATTATTTCTAACAGATTCTACTGAGTGCCCATACTTAAAGTAAGCTATAATATTTGGCTGCAGCCATTGCTGATGGATTTGATCAGAGGCAAAGCCAGAATATGGTTGATAACTTAAGTGTGAGTAATAGGTAAACCTAGTACCTTTCTCTTGAGGTCTTATATCCCTGTATTACTTTGCACAGTGGAAAGGCTCAGCAAGACAGCTTGGTGGGTCGGTCATACACACCTCTGACTTGATCTAGGTAGCCAGACAGCATTCTCTGTTAAGGTATGGACATAGCTCTTGGGACATAAGCTGGATGCTTCTAATGTCCAATATAACCTACTAAAATATATTCGTAAATGAAGGTGGAGAGATGAATACATCTCCTTGAAGAATGGAATTAGATTCATGGATTACATTGAATTTTTTTCTTGTTTTCCTCAGTTTATATTCTGAAACCTGCTAAATTCAGTGGAAAAAAGCTCCCATGGACATCAGAAAGTTTTGGTTGTTTTGGAAGATCCAAGTGTGACTTCACGATCTGTATAGTAATTTACTTCTATTAGGATTATGACAGTGTCAACAGCGGGTGGTGTCTGATAGCAGTAATACTGCTCTAAATGAACGGTTGTTCTTCTGCCTTGCAGGAGAACAAGGGAACTTTGGAAAAGTGAACTCCAAAAATCTGGGCCTTCCCTATGACTACTCTTCTGTGATGCACTATGGCGCGTGAGTTTTCCAATGCGTGCTTTCATAGGATCCACTCAGATCTAGGGAGAAGAAATTGTTCTGTGCAGGGAATGATGTTTTGGTTTTTGGTTTTTTTTTTGCTGTTCACTTACAATCGAGTTAATGGATGTAAGAAGAGTAAGTGTGCTTTGTCAGCAGTATTCTTGAAAAACAAAATTGATATCGATAGAAGAAAAAAGCACAGGATAATGTTTTCTGTCACTACGGTCACCTCTCTTACGAGAGGCCTTTGACATGGTGTATAACCAAGATGTTATAGTCACAATATAATTGTGTATAATCAATAGATATCAAGATGTTATAATTGCAATATAATCAAGAGAGTAAGGCAAAGCAGACAACAATCACAAAAAGAGAATAAGTAGAAGAGCTTACCCTTGGGTTGAGCTCACCAGAAGATACCAAAAGAGGTGATCTCCAGAAGAGATCCTTCCCCTCTGGTAGCCAGCTCTTAAATAGGTGTAGGAGAGGTGCAGCCAGGCTCCACCCCTTCCAGCAGCACAGGTGAATTGCCTTCAGCTGTGCTCCTCTGGCTGACTCAAGGCTCACCTCAGGTGATCAATCAGAGGTTCAGGCCGTGACTCAGCAGTTCCCATACACATGGCTATGTTTCAAAGACTGGGACACTGAAATAAAACAGTTTGGAAGTCCATGCTGGGCAGATACCAGTTAGTACTACGATAATTTTAGACAACACTATTTGGGTGCAGAGAGAAGAAAGATGGATTTTTTTCCATCATTAAGATGTATGCTGTCTCATGAAAAGTATTTATCCAGGACTATCATAGTTGTGTTTTGGTTCATAACATACAAGTTTGTATCATGTACCACCTCCTTTACTTCTGTTAGCAAGAAACAACTTCTAAACAATACAGTGCAATAAAAATTGTGAGTCACACGAGTATGATCAAGTTCATATTTAATAGAAATGATTTAGAAATATGACTTCCTTATTTCTACAGGTATGATTTCTCCAGCACTCCTGGGAAACCAACTATTGTACCGGTTCCTAACCCTTTGGTGCCCATTGGGCAGAGAGAAGGGCTGAGTAACTTGGATGTAGCTAAAATCAACAAGCTCTACAAGTGCAGTAAGTGCAGTAAGATAGCCAGCTCAATACTTATTGTAACCACTGTCAGACATCCCCAGAGGAACTCAGCCCACTGCCCATCTCTCCCCAGCCCTACAAGAGGGCTGCTACGTATGTGGAACAGAACTGTCCCTGTGCCAAGCTGCAGTCTTCTTGGGAAGGACACTTTGCTTTCAGTAATATGCTATCATTGAGTTATGCTGACCTATTCCCTGCCTTTTGACATAAGCAAAATCCACTAGAAACCACGGTAGTACTTCTGTGAATTCCTTATTTTAGGAAAGTTCTGAAGGTTGGAAAGCATATGAACAATCCAGAGCCATAATTCAAGTTTAGTTTATTCTGCAGTAGCACCAGTGGGTTTCTGATTTCTTTCAGTTAAAAAATGACTGCAGGGCTGTATGGGTATCACTTAGGCTTAATAGAACATCTGTGAGAGGAATTCCCTTGGCTTTTTGTTCAGTTATCTACTTCCTTGCCCACATCGACTTCTTACTCATTGCTGTGGTATCTGAATGTCTAGAAATACTGAACATTTCTCCAAAGCAGGAACTCTCCAGCTGAGAGACACAAACGAGTGTAAGTAAAATCCCAGACTTGCTCCAGCCACGTGCATTTTTTGTGCTGACTCCCAGCACATAGGCTAATTGATCTATATAGTATTTGACTTTTCAGAGATGTTACTCAATTAGTTTCCACCAAAAAACTAAGAAACATGACTACAGTTAGTGCCAAATTCTGCTTTGAATTGTGTAAGTACTTAAGTCAAATGGTCATCAGTAATCAAAAGGAATCAGCATGTCTTCACTTGAGGATGTAGGTACAGAGGAGCACCTCTCAGCAATGACTGTGCAGTTGAACTGCAAATAAGACATGTTTTCAGTTTAATTGCATCTGTCATAATCTCAACTACAAAATAACTACAAAAAGTACTTAACAGTGTTCTTGATAGCAAAGCTGGGAGTGAATCACACTCCAGTAGCATTATTATGTAATTACCTAATTAGATTTGTACATTTGGGAAGCAGGACAAGGTTTAAGAAAAACAAAACACCAAAAACACATAGACCCTGGCAGAAATAAAAAAGGACAAAAAGTCCAGTTCTCTTGGTGAAAGCAGGGAGTGAGAGAAAGATGTAATATACATGAGATCAAGCATTGTATGCCAATCACTAATTTTATAACCTGACTTCAGTGCTGTGTTAGTTTTTCCCCAGTGCCTATCTCTTTCTTTGTTTTGATAGAATCTGTTCTAAGCTTTATTTTGCATACACCTAAGAATGCACATACATTTGCTCACGGGAATTTATGTACTACTATCAATGAAACTGCTATTGATCAAGGTTAAGCAAGTTAATGAAAGATCCAGATCTTTTTCAGGAAACTGAAATAAGTGGGTGGAGCCCTACTGTTTAAATATAATAAAATGAGTAGATGAAGCAGCAAAGTACCTTCATAAGTAATTGAGTTTGCTGATGGTTTTGAATATTTTTTACACCAGGAACATCAACACAATTGTAGGCATAATTTTTTTACAAGCTTGACTGATCATAATGGTTGGAGAGAATAGTCTGGAATTTCTGGAAGATTAGTGTGATTTTATTCTCTTCAGCACTGTTTGGTTCTTCCCTTCAGATTACTGTAGCTCTGTATTGCCAAAAACCAAAGGCTCGTTCTCCTCCGTCAATTACCCTTCCCCATACCCAAACAACAGCAACTGCCTGTGGTTGATCCGCATCCGTCGGAATAAGGTAATTTTTAATGTTTGAACCAGAGCAGCAGGGCTACACCACATTGTTTTATCATGATGACATTTATTCTGTTATATAGTGAATAAGAAAGTCTCGACAATTTTCATAACACTTCTGATAATACCATAAGACGTTACTATATAACTTCTTTATCCAGTTAAGGTTGCGTGTTTTTTTGAGGATAAGCAATAACCAAATATCAGTTATTGGGCACAGTAGCAGCAATGGCAGGTGAAATTCTATGCTCCTATTATACAGGCAATAAAATTGCAGTGACACATGGATAGTAAAACGAATGGAAGTTCCTAGTTTGCTTCATAACAGTGAGGTAATTTGAATCTTTTCCCGTGTATAGCAGTAAATCCAATGTGTTTTTTGTTTCTCAAGATTTTCCTGCAGTTTGAGGCTTTTGATCTCCAAACTTCCTCAGACTGTTCATCTGACTATGTAAAAGTTTACAGTGGAAACAGCAAGAACTCTCCTGTCTTGCTGGACAAATACTGTGGGCAGGGGCCGCTGCCTTCCATCGTTGCTTCAGGATCAACAATGCTGGTAGAGTTTGCAAGTGACGAGACTGTTACAGCCACAGGATTCAGAGCCTCCTACAGCAGGGGTATGAACACTCCTTAAAAGAGCTCGGAGTACAGTATTAGTTGTATTTATATGGGAGAACTGAACATTTTTGAACTTATAATCCAGGGCAGGTTTATCTGTTAGTCTTTGCACCTCCATAGGTATTACTAACACAGTAGGATGAGCAAATGATGACGCTGAAGGTTAGCAGTGGGCAAAACAGGAGGCTGCATGGGTCTCACACTAGTAATTCTGAGTAACTGAGTAACATTCTTCTCAGAGCCTCTGCTGGGCATCTTCACATCTTTAGCAAAATTTATGTAAATAAGAACAATGCAATGACTGTGACTAACGTGAAAAGTGCAAGCAAAGAAGAAAAGACTGCAAAATGCCAAGAGAAATCATGCCAGAGAGAAGCAAAGCAAAGATTTGGTTCATATGTTATTAAAGGTTTTAGTGCATTTTATGCAACAGGAGAGAATAACCTTGGGTAGCTTACGCTTTCTGAATTAAACAGTTCTGCTATGCTGCATGAAACTCAGTGCTTACTGTATTCACTTCGGGAGTGTCTGTTTTATAAGCATACAAAATGCGTTGTGCACTGCTGGAGACAATTCTGTTGTGCTGCAACATGCTTTCAGTTAGAAGGCAGCGAACAAATAAGTGGCTATTGTCTTATTTCAGCTTAGAAGGCAGCGAACAAATAAGTGGCTATTGTCATATTTCAGCTTAAGCTGCAATCCTTAAAAAATGTAAGTTGATGTCTTAAAAATGTATCCTTGTTTTTCTGCATTAGGCTTGATGGAGTAATTTCTAGATGACACTAGATCTAGCTCAGTAATGCAGTCTCAAATACTTAACCTAATTCTTCTCTGAAAGAGCTGTAAGGTAGTTCCTTTAGAATGCTATGTTAACATGGTAACACATATGGCAAATGTAGCTTTAGATTCATCTGTTCCGTCCTCCAAAGGTTTTTTTAGCAGCCAAGTTTTCAGTGCCTTCAGTACAGCAGCTGATAAAAATGCTAAGCAGTGAAAATCTATTGCTGATATATTTTCTTCATAGCACATCCTTTCCTGGCTTGAAGAAAGAATACAGAAGAGTACAAGCAAGCTTCTTTCTACTGTCAAAATACTTGTTAATATACCATTCTTCTTTTTTTTTTTTTTCTACTACTCAGTGAATTGTGGAGGTACTTTCACAGACTCCAGTGGAATCATCACCTCCCCAAACTACCCCAATAAATACCCCAAAAACCGGGCATGCTTCTGGGTCATCAGCTCTCCAGTAGGATATAAGGTAAAGAACTGATTCTTCCACTGTTTGCAGCGATGTTCCCTAATGGAATCAATTTGTTTTGTTTTGTAACATAACAGCTGTAATGGCAGAGTGGAAATCTGAACACGTAAATTCAGTTTAAGACCTTATGCTGGCTCTTGGTATTTGAGGTGATCATCAAGAGAAAATCTTAACACCTGTATGTGAAACTTTTATGAGTTCGGCTTGTACTTTGCAGGCTTTGCTCATAATAATCCCTAGGTAAGAGCTCCCACTAGAAAACTGAAATATTGCACAGGTGTTGTTTTTGTGCTTCTTGAGAAAGAAATTTGAAGTGTACAAAATTGATCTTATCTCTTGCTTCTCCTTTCAGACTGAATGCTCATGAACTAAGCAAACAATTTGCTAATGATTTATATTACAATATAAGGCCAGGATGTAGGACGAATACAGAATGAAAACAGGGCCTGTACATAAAGGATTTAAACAATTAGCATTCGTTAAATACAAAAGCTAAGAGAACAGGATATAATTCAGAAACTGTACTTTTCTTGTGATTCCTTCAGGTATCTCTTAAAATGTTATTCTTTGAGCTGGAAGATAATGACAGATGCATCTATGACTATTTGCTCATACACGATGGAAGCCGACCTACATCACCAGCAGCTGGCCCTTTCTGTGGGACAAAGAAGGTTGCAGACTTCACTTCCACTGCAAATTTTGTGCTGGTTGAATTTCACAGTGACACAGTTTGGGAGTTGGCTGGATTCAAGTTGAGCTATACATTTCATAGGTAACACTACACAGACGGGGACTAGAAAATGCAGGATGAAAGTATGGGAGCAACTAGCCACTGCTTCTGAGGCTCTAAGCTTTTGTTATAGTAATTCCATTGCTGGTATTGCACGGCGAGATGCAGTAGAAAAACAAACTATGTAAGTAGATTCTCAGTTACCCATAGCAGTAGAAACCACCCATGAAAAATTCGGAATACGGCTATGGAGCAACTTGTATTCCAGAGCCTGTGTGCTGACAATTCCATGTAACCCTAATCTGCATTCCAGTATTCATACAGAAAAACCTTCAGACATTTGTTTATGCTTTGAAGCCTAGCCTGTTTATACAGTAGGTACAGGCACAGTGGTTAGCCTGGAAATGACCACTTCACATTGAAGATGCATGTTAACATTCCTGTGCAGCATTTCAACTCAAATAACTGCATTACTTTCATAACCAGAAACAGAGCAGGGAACAGACTTGGCTGAAGAAACTTAATGGCAGGAACAGACAGTGAGAGAGAAGGAAAGGAAGGAAGTACCTATTGCTGCCACTTTGTAAGTAAGCCATGGCCTGAGTCACGTATTGAAATCTTCCATTGGGATATTACTGTGTTTGTTTTTTGTTTTGTTTTGTTTTGTTTTGCTTTCCTCAAAATGAGGCCTGAAAACATAACGGAAAGCTCTCTGAATAGAAATAGAGCCAATAACTTTGGAGAATATCATATTAGGTGTGAAGTATCTTGACTTCAGAGCAGCATCTCCTATCTCTTATAAGCCGGAAGAAGAGAAAAAAATCACTACTCTGGACAGATAACAGTTTACTTTTACTTGGTATGTTAAGAGTTAAATGCCACTGCCAAGCTGGAATGGGATAAAATGAAATAAATTTTCTTGCAGCAACTATATCTTTGTGAAGAAAAGCACATAGAGAATGCCAGTTCGATTTCCCAGTGCCAGGAAGGCAGCTAAGAAAATCCTGAATTATGGAGATTTCTCTTTTTCCTTTTTTAAAGATCTGTAATATTTTGCTTTTTAAGCACTGGATAGTCTTTACCCTCAGAATAATATCTGATGTGCTGTGGGCATAAAGGTCTAGAGCCTGGCTGCACTGTGGTAGGAAACTGCATGTAAAGCCGACAACAAATACTTGTAGCTCTTATGAGCTGATCTGGCTATGCAAACTATTGAGGAAATCAAGCAAGGAAGAGACACTTGGGTGGCTGTAGCATAAGCCTGGGACAGTACCTGTTTGGTACTATCTCCTTATGTTACTAATAAAATGCTTTTTTCTTACTGTGTTTCTGCATGGAGAAATGCTGATATAGTAGAATACAGTATATTCTCCCTTTTCAGCGTGGCAGGTAATTTGGATGCAGTACCTGAGGGCTGCACCTGTGCTATAGCCGGAAGGAACTAGTCTGCCAAAAACTGGTGCTGTTTTTAACAAGCTGCAACAGGCAAAACTCATCAAACATGGCTCTGGGTGCCTAAGTACTTTGGGTCTCATTCAGGATGGAAACTCCATGATCTTCCCTCCAAAGTTTTTAAAAGTATGATCCCATCATGAACTGAACTGCTGATCACAAAGAGCTAAGGAGAGCTAGAGGAACCCAACCTCAGAGACAGTAATGTTTTGCATGGCATGTATGTATGTACAAATGTATGTCTTCCAGTTCAACCTCATATCCTGCTGGATTTATGTTCTCTGTACAAACCTGGAATACAGATTGTGTGTGTTCACGGAAGAGGGGAGAAGGCAATTCTGATATCTTAACCTAAACATCAAACTGTACGAATGCCAATTCTCTCTGGGTCTGACTTTCAAGGAGGAACTAAAGTAATAATCCCCAGTGCAAACTTGCATGGATCCCTAGTTTAAATATGCAATGCTGGCAGCTTTGATGGTAACTTCAGTACTATTTCAGATTTTCTTTTCATGGCCTAATGTGGGGCTCTACTATCAGGCTTCCTAGGTCCAGATTTTTAACATTCATAAATTCAAAAGAGAAGCATGAACAATTCATGAAACAGTAATTTACTGCATATAGGAATTCTAGTCTTGCAACTAGTCCCTAGGAATATAGTATTAAGTAGCAATCTCAGATGTGGGAATGTGGCATGAGCAGGGTGCTTTTTTTGTAGGCAAGCCTTTCTTGCAGGCAAGTCATAAGCCCTAAGGGGCAGGCAGCCTGGCTATAAAAATTCCACTCTCATTTGTTTTGAAAGTATGAATTCAAAAGTACTGATGTAGGCTGCATTGAGGAATGCATATTCTGAAATACATTATTCATAAGTTCCCTCTTTCATAGGAAGGGCTTTTCTGTCTGAAGTCTAAGATTTCCACATTTCATCAGTTATGTTAGGAGTCATTGTTAACTGCTTTCCTTAATGAACATTCAGATTTACAGGAGCTTCCACAAACGCTCCAGACTATCTGCCACTCCCTTCTGCAGATATCAAAAGCTTCAATGTTTCTCCAACTGTTTTTTGAATTCCTGCCAGCAGACTTCAGTTAATTTTGTCATTTTGCTGTAAATTTGCAGCCTGCCAAACAGGGAAACACAACATACAAAACATTCTTCTGATACTATCGTTCGTTTTCACCCACCATTAGCTGTGAATCTTAAATGGAGGATTTATACAATTCAGACACCTGCTACGAGCTTAGGTATGCTCAACTGCATAGCAGAAGAGGATGTGCATCTAAAAGACAATTATCAGCTCAGTATGGGCATTGCCCATGTGTAATAATGAGGTAGAAGCTTACTATTAATGTTCAGTTTCTGAGATACATGAATTAATATTCACCAAACAATAGACACCAGGGACATCATGGCCAAAGGTTTAGGATTCAAATATCAGCACTGATTTTGAGAGGTTCTAATCAAAGTTCATCACGTACTACATACAGCTTATAAAACCAACACGTAAGGATTTAATCTTTAAAAAAATAGAGTAGCAGCTGTAATGAATACATATATACACACATATTCATGTGTATGTACAAACCTTATAACACAAGCAGTTGTTACACAATAGATCTGTGCTCAAATACAGCCATTTCCATCAGCCTGTGCATGTGGAAAAGATGAGAGGAGTGTTTGTGCCCAAGTATCCCAATCTCACCTGCTCTGGGACTGTCCTGGTTCCTATCTGGGAGGTGAGTCAGGGCCTTTGAGCAACAGGCTTTCCTGATCTGTAAAACCAGAACAGAGATTTGCCAATCACTTCTGTTGAGACAAAAGCAGCCTGAAATAAAGCTCTACAGAAATGCACCAAAATAATCTACTAGTCCTAGGTTTATTTTTGTTGTTAAAGTGCATTTCCATGCCATAAGTAACTGTGGTCAAGACAACATTGACTTGGACTACACTTCACTTGGACTACAACACCAAGAAAACAAGACTAAGACTGAAAACATGGGTAGCTTTGGCACGCTGATAGTTCCTCGTCTGTACAAAAACTGAAACTCGGGTTCCAGATTCCAATTTGGTGATGCTTTGCTGCTTCTGTCACACTGAACCCCAAGGACAAGCCTCTCAGCCTGGTGTGCTGCAAGCTGTGGAACGTGGCGTCGGCAGCTCTGTGCGGGACGGAGAATGCGCGACTTACTGTGCCACAGCTGAGCTCGGCACGGCACGCCATTAACCCGACTGCCTCCCGCGCTTCGAACGAAGCTCCCCTCACCCGCTCCCATCGGGCCACGCGCAGAAGTGGAGGGGCGGGGCCAGGCCTGCCGGCTGAACGCGGCGCTGCGGAGCGTGGGATGGCGGCGTCATGGAGGGCCGCTGCTACGGGTGCGCCTGCAAGTTCAGCCTCTTCAAGAAAGAGGCAAGTCCGGCCGAGGGGTCGGCGGGGCCGGGCTGAGGGGAGAGCCCAGGGCGTGCCGGGCCGCGCAGCCTCGGGTGCGTCCCGTCGCTGTGGCCCGGTGCGGGCCGCGTCGCGCCCCGCCGCTCGGGAGCTGACCCGCCCGCTTCGTGTCCCCGCAGTGCGGCTGCAGGAGCTGCGGGCGCGCCTTCTGCTCGGGCTGCCTGAGCTGCAGCGCCCCGGTGCCTCGCTGCGGGAGCGCTCCGCAGAAGGTGTGCAAGCAGTGCTACGGGAAGCTCACCGGGTAAGTGCGGGCGGGAACGTTTCCTTTTTCCCTTTGCAGCTCCAAAGACGCCTAGAAAAAAACTCGGCCTCTTCCTACGTTACTTTTGCTGTTGAGTTGTTTTTTGCTTTTTTTTTTTTTTTTTTTTTTTTTTCCCCCCCTTGTCTGTTTAGTATCAGTAACTGTTGGGTTAGAGCAGGCGAAATTCTTCCCTGAGTGGGTAGCAGGTAGATAGTATGTGTTGGCTATGTTTTGTGGGCTGTGTGAGTTGGTGATTTTCACAGTCGGCTTCCACAATGGAAGACTTAGAAGTTGAAAGCGGTCCGATGAAGGTGTTGCCCACGTTTGCCTTTGCTTGTCCTTAGCACAGCACAGGTATTTGTAGCTGTGCCTTCTAAGAATGAATAAAGTATGCTAACTACCTTATATAAGCATAGCTTAGCAGCTTGACACAAACACAAGGAGGTAGGAAACAGTTACACAAGATTTACTGGTGATGTTCAAGTGTCCTAGAAGATGTCATCATGATACTGGTGATTACATAATTATTTCCATAATACAATTTAGCTTGTGCATTATATAATTCTGTGTTTGTTGCTCCTTTCAGGGAGCTGTACTGTATGGAAGCTAATTACCTTGAGAATCCTACCTAACTGCGCTCTCTGCTTGCTGAACTGGGACGTGCAGGCTCTGGGAGGCCAAGGGCATTTCAGCTCCTCCTGGTGTCTGCATTAAATCAAACAAAGTTTGTCCAAAAGCAAAACAACAAGAACATAGGACTAGAAATGAAGTCACTTCCTGTCCAAAGCAGCTGTATCATCTTAGTCACTTTCACAAGCTGATCACTCTATATTAATGGAGTTATGAAAGGACTGTACCAGGTGATCAATACACGTGTATTCTGATTCCTATCGGGTTGAGAGAATAGATGTTTGAAGCATTGCTGGAGTCTTGAGTTCAGAGATAACAGTATTTTTATGTTTCAGACAAGAGTCTCAAAGCACTTCGGCAAAATGGTCACCACCAGAAAACTACAAAAAGTGAGTTAAGCTTGCTGATCAGCCACATGTTTCCGCTGTAGGGTAACCTTTCAGACCTTCAGCTCTTTCCCCCTCTGTCCTTATAGAAACCAGCAAAAGAAGCAGGTTGTGATGTTTGCTTGT